CTTTCTTCGGTGCGACTGCGTGCACATGTGGTTCGAGAGAGCGGCCGAGGATAAGCCCCTGAAAGAGCAGATGTCACACGCGTACGGTTTCTGGCCCGTGTGCGTGAGAAAGTGCTTCCTGAGGCTGCCGGAGTTGGTGTAGGCAGAGCCGCATATATCGCACGCGTAAGGTTTCTGGCCCGTGTGCGTGAGAAAGTGCATCTTGAGGTTCCTGGAGCAGTTGTAGGCGGAGCCGCATATGTCGCACGCGTACGGTTTCTCTCCCGTGTGCGTGCGCGCGTGACTCTGGAGATGCGCCAGCCGCGAACTGCTGTACTCACATACATCGCACGCGTACGGTTTCTCTCCCGTGTGCGTGCGCACGTGGATCAGGAGATGTGTCAGCTGAGAACTCCTGTACTCACATACATCGCACGCGTACGGTTTCTCTCCCGTGTGCATGCGCATGTGCACCTGCAACCGCTGATTCTGGGAGCATCGGTACCCGCACGTGTCACACGCGTATGGTTTCAGAGAAGAAGCAGAAGCAGAAGGAAGAGAAAAAGGTTCCATCGAGCGGGCAGTGATCGAGATCTCTATTTCTCCCCGATACAGGTTCCTCTCTCACTTTCCTCCTCGATGCAGTTTCCTCTCTCACTTTCCTCCCTGATGCAACTTCCTCTCACGGTCGTCTCCTTTCCTGTAGACAGAAAATATAGTACCCGGATAACTTCCCCTGCCTCACAAAGAGATGAAGTCAGATTCATTTGCTACGGGCATAACCTCAACCTAACCCCCGCCCACTTCGTTCTCAACGGATCTACACGAATTAAGCAATTTCTCATTATGCTTGGAACAATAATTAAACAAGTGGAAATCCGTGGATCCGCGGAAAATCCTCATGTATGTATAAGCAATCGTTGTTGCAAGATAGGCATCCGTAAAAACACTGCTACGTAATAACGCTAAACAAACCCGACAATAAAACACGCACGAAACACATACAGACTGGTAGTGATGTCCCGGTGATCGATTATAATCGAAAGTCAGTCGTTTGCAGCAACCGACTAAGCGCTCGATTATGCAAATTAATAATCGATTATAATTTTTTATTTTTTTTTATTTAATAAAATTTGCAAAAATTCATGAAACGACACGTTATTTCATTTTTGTGTATTTATTTTGGTTACTTTACAGCTTCGAGACTAAGCTACACGATACATAAGCATGTACAATACTGTTACATAGGTTTTAGAATATTGTAGGCCCTATTTGTTTAACTATATCCCATACAACTATATAAATGATTATAGCAGCAGAGACAGATATCCCTTAATCATTTTGTTCATTGAAGCTCTTGGTATAATAAGCTCCTCTTCAGGCTGTGTTCGCACCTACGTCCCGAATATCAAAACCGTACGTCTAGCGGTTTAGATTTGTGCCATACTGTTGATGGACGCACGGACGGAAAACGACCGTTTCTACAAGCTGCATCTGACTATGTGCGATGAGCTAAAAACACACACAAACTGGTCTAGCCTGAGTGACCATACCGATGGTGTAGCTGCTGACTATCAGTCTCAGATGGCTACGTAAGCTACACGAAGCCGCACGCATAACACACGATTTTAATATATTTAAAACTTTTCTAATCAATAAACTTTAGATGATTAATTATTAATTACAGATTAGTTACCCATATGATATAGCCAGGAGTTAATAATAATGAAGGAGCCGGGTATCTTCTGGGGAAAAATTAGACAACGGAGGTAATGGCCGGTTTGGGGGGAAAAACTCGCATAATGGAATCAAAGGCGTGTTTGCAGTTCTTGATGACCTAGCAAAGCGAGCCACTTAGGGGGGTCCGGGGGCATGCCCCCCACCTGAAATTTTGGACAAAATGGTGCAATTTGGTGCATTCTAAGCTATTCTGAAGACATTGTATGAGACTCTTGAATCTCTTTTTCAAGTTGTCAAAAGGAACAAATAAACTATGAATATGAAATGATACAAATATTCACATTAAATTGTGATACCGTCATGAAATGAATAGCAACGAATGTGGATTCTGCAGGCAGACGCGGAGGGAGAGAGGTAGAGGGGGGTTCTGGGGGTCTCCCCCAGCAAAATTGTAAAAATTTGAATGTCTTAGACTGCATTTGAGGCACCCTGAAAATAAAATTTCACCTTTTAGTTTAAATGTTACTCTGTTAGCAGACCTACCAAGTCTCACGCATTTCGCGGGAGACTCACGTATCTGGCTGAGCTAAACCATAGATATATATACAAACACATCTATAGCTAAACCCACGCGCTGAATGCGCACGCAAACCAGCCCGCACACAGTGCACATTCGGCGCTGAGCGACACTCCTGTTGCCCACGTTTGTGGTTGGATATCTGTCTCAGATGGCTAGGTCAGATACACTAAACAAGCCACATAAGATTTTAAATAAATAAAAAAATTTGTTATCAATAAACTTTAGATGATAATTCAGTCCTCGACACTAACGGTTGGCAAATTGCCAAGACAAATTAAAGTCTATGTTGGACAGGTTATTTTCTTGGCTAGTTGCCCAATCGGACAACTGAAAAATTAATGTATCTAGTTATATAAATTAGATCTCTATATTATACACTCCTGGTAATATATGCACTGAACCGAGGCTCCACAAGGATCGATTTTGGGTCCTCTGATATTTCTGATTAATGTTAATGACATGGCAAAGGCAGGTAACGTCAAGCTTTTATTATATGCTGACGATTCACGGACAGAGTTACAGCCTATACAGGAAGAATTAAGTAGAGAATTGCCTTCCGTTAATAAATGGCTGAATGACAATAATTTATCCTTTCATCTTGGAAAAACAGAAAGTATTATTTTTGGAACTAAACACAAATTCAAGGATAATCCAATGCTGGACATCAGATGTAATGGCGTGGCAATTGCACATGAAAATACAGTTAAGTATCTAGGAATAGAATTGGAAGTCCCCATGAGTGCATGGTGAGGTAATGGGAATTAAGGTTGTAAAAAAGGTTCACAATAGATTGAAATTTCTTTTCAGAAAAGTTAAGTATTTCAACACGGCATGTAAAAGATTACTAGTTTCTGCCCTAATTCAATGTCATTTTGACTATGCAAGCAGTAACTGGTACAGCAGTCTCACAAAGCGCCCAAGGACTAAGTTGCAAGTCAAAATTTGGACAAGTTAAAATTATTTCTTGTTGTCCGACAAGACAACCACATCTAAAAATAAGCATCGAAGCCTGTAAATTATAGCTCATTTTCCCACATTGGTATGACAGGTCAATTTACCAAGTCGCAAACTCGCCGATTATTCGTTTTAGTGCTCATCAACCAATAACGCCAGACTAGAGCTGGACAATCCTAGTTTAGCACCCCGGATTAGTTTAGCATCTATGTGAACTATATATACCGGGGTCCAAAACTAGGATTGAACACTAGTACTAGTAGTAGAGCCTAGTTTAGAGGCTATACGCGAGTTAAAGCAAACATTCAGACATTACACAAACTGTTTATTTGCCACGACTTTAATTATTGAAACAGCCAAACTTTCTGTGCTTTGTGCTCTTACTTACAAGTACTCGCAGCTAGGGCCTGCATACCTCACAAATTCCATTGGTTGATACAAATCACGTGCCCAGGGTCTCCAACCCTGTGAACTCCAAATGCGGAATGAAATTGATGGACGGGGGGGTGCGAAATTAACCTTGGCTGATGCAGGCAGGCCCGCATGCCGTAGGGATGCCAGTGCTAGAAGGGTCTGGGGGCATGCCCCCAGAAAATTTTGAAATATTTAAGCCATTTTCCTGCAATCTGAGGCATACTGTGGGCCATATTCTGATGTCTGATGACACTATCTCAACCCTAGACTCAACCCTAGACTCAACCCTACAAGTTAGGATTCAAAACACTTTTCATGACTTTTCAGAGAGCGTACACAGTTAGGTTACTATAGTAATAATACATGTATTAAAACACAGGTAAGAATTGCAATTTCTCACAATTGCACGTGTTTTTGTATGTTTGCAACCATACTTTTTGGCTATTTGTGAGTCTGGAAACATTTTCTTGAAGAGTTCATTTGCATGGTCTGCCACCCTCAAAGGCACATTGTGTTCAATTAAATAATCCGTAAATCTCACTTCTGTGTCAAGACAGACAATTCTCTATCTGCTGCAAAGAAGCTTGATATATTGGGTGTAGATTCCACTGCACCCGCATAGCACTTATGCTGTTGAGAGACTATATGCCTCTGGCAGTCACTCCTTCCTCCGTGCCCCACTTGAAAGTCTGTCTTGCATACCATGCAATAGCTTGCATACCATGCAATAGCCATGATTAACACTGAGTTTTGACTTCACAAGTACAGGCCACATCTGTGTATATTCGTTCCTGAATTTCTGTAAAAGTCGGATTTTTTAGATGGCAATGGCAATTGGACGCCATTTTCCCCACGGATTAATCTGATTAGCAGACAATCTACGCGACACCTTGCAGACAGCGCCTGTCTGACTAGCTAGGCTATTCCATTTATCTTAGCCATGCCAGATACAAAATGCATAGAATTAGAAACACATTATAACACTGAGTGATGGTAGGGAGGTGCAAAACCAAGGTATAATGGCAGAGCGTGCATTTCCAAGAAACGACTCGCGCATTAATAAACTTGCTGCATCTCTACTGCACCAGCGCGTGGCCAGTGCCAGGCACCAGCTGAAAAAAAACAATGTGTCCAAGCGAACAATGCGAACAATCAGTGCAAATTTTATACAGTGCAACTGAAATGAGGAATATAACGTTGCCGCTGCGGAGTGCGGAAATTAAGCCTAGAAATCGTAATGATGGTTGAAGACCCTGCGTGCCTGAAACTCCTGTTTTATGGTGCATTGTGACCCTAACACTAACCCTAACCCTAATTAAAATTTAATTTAAAAAAATTTAAAAAAATTTAATTTTGGTAAAAATTATTTGTTGTTACTAAATTGTTGTAAATAAATAATGTAAATATTTGCGTTAATTGGGAAAAAATAGTTAAATGGATAAAGATAGAAAAATACAGAAAACAGGAAAATAATTAAAAAAACAGATGGGATTCGATCCAACGACCTTCAAGCCGTGACGCCCGAGCTGTAAGTGTTCAGCTATTCAGGCTTATTGGGTTTATGGATTATGGATGTGCCATGATATGACAACACTGCGACGTCATTGAGGCAGTTGAGGCACGTGATTTGTATCAACCAATGGGATTTGGGAGGTATGCAGGCCCTAGCTGCGAGTCTTACAAGTTATACTCTTAACGGGCCAGATTCAAACCAATGTTCATACGCATCGATCGAATTAATCAAATACACAAGGTGAAGGTATATAAACACCTAAAATTTACAACAGCAACCATCTTCCATTGTGTGACAACACATGTTGTTATAAACAAACACCTGAGCGTTTGTTATGCCTATGCCACCTAGTGTGAACTAAAGGAGGCTTAGGGTATATAAAGCACTGCCCGGTGGCAGAAGACAAAGCGAGCACCGTAGGAGCTTGCCCACCTAGGGGGGTCCGAGGGCATGCTCACCCGGAAATCTTGGAAAAAATGATGCAATTTGGTGCATTCTAAGCTATTCTTAACACATTGTATGAGACTCTTGAATCTCTTTTTCAAGTTGTCAAAAGAAACAAATAAACTATGAATATGAAATAATACAAGTATTCACATTAAATTGTAATACCGTCATGAAATGAAGAGCCACGAATGTAGATTCTCCAGGCAGACGCGGGGGGGGGGAGAAATAGAGGGGGTTCTGGGGGTCTCCCCCAGCAGAATTGTAAAAATGTGAATATCTTAGACTGCATTTCAGGCACCCTGAAAATAAAATTTCACCTTTTAGTTTAAATCTTACTCTGTTAGCCGACCTACCAAGTCTCACGCATTTCGCGGAAGACTCACGTATAGTATCTGGGTGAGCTAAACCATAGATATATATATACAAACACATCTATGGCTAAACGCACGCGCCAAAGGCGCACGCAAACCAGCCCGCACATGGTGCACATTCGGCGCTGAGCGACAGCCCTGTTACCCACGTGTGTGGTTGGTTATCTGTCTCAGATGGCTAGGTCACCTACACTAAAGTCACATCATAAGATCTTAAATATATTTAAAATTTTGTAATCAATAAACTTTAGATGATAAATCAGCCCTCGACACTAACGGTTGGCAAATTGCCACAACAAATTAAAGTCTAGGTGTCGGACAAGTTATTCTCTTGGCTAGTTGCCCGATCGGACAACTGAAAAATTAATGTATCTAGTTTAGTGGTGTTCCGATTAAACGAGTTCGTCGATCATTACTCGTTTTGGCTGCCGAGTTGATTAATCGAGTATAAAATCGGACGACCGAGTACAATTCAAACTTTTATATTTTTTTATATTTTTTTTTTATTGAATTTGATGAGCATGCAGTTATGTTGCAATGCCCTTTAGAGTGTTACCCGTCCGTAACCCTAACAGCATCCTTAATTTACTTACCATAAAATACTAGCTACACATACAATAATGTCAATATTCCTTCGCAATACACCGGTTGTGTCGACGATGACGCGGCGTCACCGTGTCGTCGCGCGCAATCTAAAATGATCGATGATTAATCAATCATTGGTCGTTTTATAAAACCGATGATCGATCATGAAATTTGGACCGATCTCCAACACTAATTCTAGTTTTATAAATTTGATCTCTATATGTGACCCACTCCAGCAAAACCAGGATTAAGTAGGAAATTATACAAATTGAGTTATGTGCATATCTGATTAGATCATTTAATTACCTTTAAAATTATATATAATATTTGGCTATATCTAAAGAATTGACCGATCTACAGCAATTTGAAGATCGGAAACCGACTTATTCCGGAATATGCAGCTTTTGAGATAAAGCGTTCCGGGTAAGGGGCCCAGTTTTATCTTTTTTTATTAAAAATGACCATAATAATCTAGAGATATCTGAACCAATATATCCAGATTAAATATGCACTTAGGAACTTTTTTTTTTTTAAATCTTATTTTTGTCCAGGTAGGCCATTTTCAGCATTGACATGTGTGCGTGCTCATTACTCAAAACAATGACTTGCGACTTAGTCCGTATTATGCTAAAGCGGGTCACATATTATACACTCCTGGTAATATATATGCACTGAACTGAGGCTCCACAAGGATCGATTTTGGGTCCTCTGATATTTCTGATTAATGTTAATGACATGGCAAAGGCAGGTAACGTCAAGCTTTTATTATATGCTGACGATTCGACATTAGTAGTTTCAGGGACAGAGGTACAGGTTATACAGGAAGAATTAAGTAGAGAATTGCTTTCCGTTAATAAATGGCTCAATGACAATAATTTATCCTTTTATTTTTGGAACTAAACACAAACTCAAAGATAATCCAAAACTGGACATCAGATGTAATAGGGTGGCAATTGCACATGAAAATACAGTTAAGTATCTAGGAATAGACCTAGAAG